TTGTAAAACATTTTTAGGATGCATACGCAACCTAATGAATTGCCGCAACTGTCGCCGCAGGATGTAATGGCTCATGCTAAAACACTTACAGAAAATGAAAGTTGGGACGGAGAAAAAACAATCATTATAACGTGCAGGTACACCCAATTTCGGTTTTCAGTTGCTTTTCTAGGCCGTACTTTGCCTCTATAATTCCTGCCACTTTAGTTTCACACCTGGGTCGGTTTCATTGACGGCTTACAAATTGACGCCTAGTGGCTTTGAGTGGGCTCGTAACAATACTGATAAACAGAGCAATAATCCGAAAGGTTACCTTCCATCACATTACGAAAAAGTTCAAATGTTGTTGTCAGATCGGTTTTTGGGTTATTTCATGGTGCCCGCTTCGGGTATATGGAACTACAACTTTATGGGTAAGTGGTTTGTGTTCTCCATTTTGTAATTTTTTAGTTTGGCATTTAAGGTGTAAAACTTCATCTTAACAACCATTTAAGGTGTGAGGCATGAGGCGAGCATGCGGTACGATCTTATGTTGGCAAACCCTAAAGAGTTCTATCATGAGGATCATAGGCCTCTCCATTTCCAAAACTTCAAAGCATTTGATGATCCTTTGGGGATTGCAGCTGCTGACAAAGAAGATGTGTTTGCATGACGTATCTTTTTGCGTCACTTATAATACTGATTTGGTCTCATTATACATAAATGTTTTTTACGGTTCCTGTTTCATTGACGTTGCTCTATCGTTTTTTTTTTAATGTTTTGCTGCTTATAGATTTTTTTTATTCTTGAACCTTTTGTACATTATTTTTTCTGCTCGCAGCATATTTTGTTGCATTTGTGAGTGAAGACTACTTTTTCCTTTCTTTGTTATATGTAGTTAGTTCAATGTTCTCACAAAGTCACCTGACTGTTTTGTTAATTTTGTTGTTTAAAGTCAGAACCTATTTTACATATGTTATTAGTGAAATAAACGTCGTATCTGGGAGATCCTGGAACGTTTTGTATTAGCTGTAACTTCATTAGAGGTTGTGTCGAGTAATCAGTAACTTCTTACATTCTTTTCCTGTAGTGGAACTGCTAGCGTTTTCTTTTAGTGATGAGGACGTGTCGTTGGAGGATGGAGTTTTCTCTCGTTAGTTGCTTTTCGGATGTTTTGGAAGTGTGGAGGGTTTGGGGGGCGAGAGGTGTTGCGCGGTAAGATGTGCGGTTGGGCGACGTTTTACTGGTCCCTGTTTTAGTTCGTCTTAGTATTTCTGGAATGGCAGAGAGTTTTGGCAGACGTTTGTAATGGTCGATTTGAGCGTCTGGGTAGCGTCTCAGAGTGCATGTTTCTGCTGGTATGACAACTGCAAAGAAAGTTCAGGTACTTCTCAGTTATACTTAAGATGTGGTGTTGCAACAGTCTACGGAGAATCCTGTTTTTTATAGCAAATATCTTTTGTCATACGAGATGAAAAGGAATTTATGCACCGAGGATGCGTCAACACGCTCCAGTATGATGAAAATTTGGGTAGGTTGTATTCTGCTGGAGCCGACTCGATAATTCGGCAATGGAAGGCACCTCCAGAAGGCGAAGTAATGTCGAGTGCCAAAGTTAGTTGTTTTCTGTTGTAATGTTGTCGATGGTTCTTCTAAATAGGTTTTTTAGAGCAGTGATTGTAGTTTGTGGGCTGTTGTTAAGATAAATTGAGTACATTTATTGAACCAAGTGCTTGTTACTGTCCTGAGGATATTTATATAGATATCTTAATTACATTATAAGAAACTTTACCAGATTTTACCCGATAATAAATTTACTGGTCAGTCGAAAGAGATAAAGAATGACGCTGATCTACAGATTGCTCAAGAGTTGCATCTTCAGTCGATGGAACACCACACTGATTGGGTCAACGATATTGTTTTATGTTGTGGAGGCAGGAATTGTAAGTTTCTTTCCAAGTTCTTTTTTTTCTTGCTAGTCTATTTCACCTTTTTTAATACGAAATTTATGTTGCTGTTCAGTAATATCGGCTTCGAGTGATACGTCCGTGAAGGTGTGGAACACTCAGAAAGGATTTTGCATGTCTACTTTGCGCACTCATCGCGACTACGTACGCAGTCTCGCGTACGCTCGGGATGTAGAGATGGTTGCAAGTGGTGGTCTGGATAAACTTCTTTATCTCTGGGATATAGGAACATTAACTAAGTTAACAGCACTTAATAATACTGTCACCAGTTAGTCTTCTGAAAGCTCTATAATTATTACTTTCTTCCCTTGTTTACCTGCGATGGCAGTATAAATAGTAGAGAAATTTTTAGCTTCTTCATTAACTGGCAACAAAGAAAGTATCTATTCATTGGCTATGAATCCTTCTGGAACTGTTTTAATCTCAGGTTCAACAGAGAAGGTTGGTTTTTTTTTTAGATAATAGTAGATTTTTTTTAGTGTTAAAATACTTAACACATCTACAGTTGTGCTGGAAGTAGGAACTATTGAAACTGTATGAACTCATGTGTGGAATTTGCTTGACAGCAACTGTAGCTAAACGGATTGGTAATGGTCTTTAACGAATAAACCTAAGCTTTTCTTGTTGACGCTTAAAAAGACAATCTACTGCGTGAAACACTAAGCATCAAACAAACGAGTTTTTGCTTAGCATATTCTAGCAGGAAAATAAAGATTACATTTTAGACGGCTTGTCCCAGTCGAGTTGTCTTCTGTGACATGAGTTGCATCTTCTGCTTATTTTTAGTATTAATGAGCACATGATTATGTTTTAAACTGTGAAAGTCTTTTGGTACATGATACTCTGTTCTTTAGGTTTTACGTGTTTATGATCCACGAACTTATCAGAAAGTTATGAAACTGAAGGGTCATACAGACAATGTTAGAGCCATAATTATTAATAGAGATGGTACAGAGGTAAAATTTTTCTTATACTTAGCATGTTGGGGCTTCCGCTAAGTATTTTTCACTACTTTATCTGTATCGTAGCATATCAGATGTTATGGAGTTTTTTTGTACGTTTTGGCAGTTCTTCTCTTATTCTTCGTCTTTAATAGAATTCCTCGTTATTATTGGACTTTTCGGCTGAGTTTCTAGAACTTACATAGAAGAGGACCTTAGACCAAAGATTCTGATTTAGTGTGTGTCAGCAAGTAGTGACGGAACAGTGAAATTGTGGAGTATAGGAGAACAGTGTTGTATTTCTTCTCTTCGGTGTCATTCTGAGGGAGTATGGGCATTAGAGGTACGTTGCGCCTGTTTTCTTTGTGGTTTTGGGAACAAAAGCCGAACTTTGCTCAGAAAACATAATTCTTTTGAATTATTTTCTGTAAAAAAGTTTAGGCAAAGAATTTGGTAAATGTAAATTCAAGAATAAAAAAAAATGGAACAGATAACAAATGGGCAATTTTTTAATTTGATTTTTTATAGACTGATTCAAGGTTTTCTACTTTTTACTCTGGTGGGCGAGACAAACGTGTTTTTCGCATGCGTCGTTCTGATTTCCAATCTGCTGAACTTTTATTTGTTGATGAAGCTCCAGTGCAGCGGGTACACTGCCTTCTAAACTTGATTATTAAGAGTCTTTTCATGGGGGGTTATGTCTGAGATTTCGAATAATATTTTTTTGAAGATATATTTGTATTTGTAAATTTGATTGTGTGGAGATTACAACTGCTATAAAATGATAAGAGAAGAAAATGTTGCAGCTAAAATTGACAAATCACGACCAGCCAAAGTCTGTTTGGGTTGCTACCACTCACTCGTCAATTAAACGTTGGTCACTGCCAAAGGAATCGCTGATTTACACTCAAAACGATGACTCCATTGAGTTAACGACTTGCGTTGAGGAACCGGAAGTAGTAGTACCTGGTCAGTTGTGGACTTTTTTCATTCTTATTCGTTTATTAGATTAAAATGCAGCTAAAGTTTAGGTGGGGCTAGTATTCGCAAATATGCAATCTTGAACGATAAAAGGCGTGTAGTTACGAAAGATTCGAATAATGAAGTAGCTATATATGACGTTCTTAAAGGGAAAAAGGTATATTTCTAATACTGATTTTTCTCATGTTTTGTAGTATTTCTCTGGTTTCGTACGTGTATTATATTCAGGTGTGTGATTATGGAGACCGGCCTATGGAGCAAGTTGTGAAAGAAAATTATAAAGACGTGTTTGTTTCCTCTTGGTTCACCATCGATTTGAAATGTGGTGTATGCATTTTAATTGAGATTGGTAGCTGTTAGAAAGGAGGATTACTGGCTATATCTGTATGAGGGGATTGTATTTGGATTTTAATTTCTGTATAGTGGTGTAGTTGTTATTTTTTAGTGATGTAGAAGTCATTAGGCACAAATTTTTTCAGTTCTTGCAAGTGGTTCTCGACGAGTCTGATTTTTTTGCTGCTTGGGTTTCTGCCAAAGATTCTGGCTTCACAGAACGTTCTTCTGACAGTAAAAGTAAATTTTGTATTTGGCACTTAATTTAATTGTTCTTTTGTAATTTTACTACTATCGTGTTATTTATTTGTCTACGACTTCAGCCACTCATTGTTTTTGTTAAACCATGTTGTGTTTGTAACTTCAGTGGCTTTGTTAAAATAGGTAACCATATTGGTGACATTTAATATTTTAGTGAATTATGGTGGCATGCTGTTACGAGCGTTGTTTCAAAGGTGGCCGAAAACCTTGAAGGACACCGACATGGAATGGGCTACTCATGTTATGTATTCATTACCCGATCACACACCTGTAATTTTGAGGTAGTTTGTCTGGCTACTATAATTTTGTTGTTTTATTTACTTATCTTTCTTGCAAATTTTACATTGTATTTTACGTTTAAAACCTTTTAAAAATCTTCGTTTTTCATTATTTAGTTTTTCGCGAGCGGATTTGCAGTTACACTATTTTGCCAGAGTATTAAATGTGAATTTGAATAATACTTCATGTTCAGTCCCAAAGTATGAAATGAATTCAAGCTTGATTTTCAGTGAGGGAAATGGCAGACCTGTTTTTCGATTTGTGATCCGTGATGCTGCTCATGAAGTCGAAGCGAATATGCTTTCCGAGCAAACTCCTAAGTGGATACTGAATGTAATTGAAAATAACGAGTTACCGAAACTGAACAAGATACCTTTTTGGCTGGCTCCACACTCATCAATGGGAGTGAAAGTTCCCAAAAAGTATTGTTTCATCGAGTTTGCTGTTTCAGCGCTAAAATTTTATGGCGTATTTTTTCTAGCTCTGTTGTGCAAATCAGAGATCCTTTTCAGTCGTTTATCTTAATTTTTATAATTTAGAGAAAGGTATACTGCTACAGAAACCTTGCAAATCCGGGATTTAATGGATTACATTTCGAAAAAAGTGCTAAATACTCCTGGTTTTGGAGGACTTCCGCTTACAGATAACAAGTCTTTTGCTCAATTTTTTGCTGGTTCTATGCATAATAAAATTGAAGAAAGGAGGGTTGAAATTTATTGCCATGATCAGGTAAGCATTTTTACATATCACTGTCTTAAGTATCTTTTGCAGTCCTATAATTGTTTTTTGTACTTTTATTCTTATTAAGTGCCTCAGTGTTTCTTACTGAAAGTAAATGAATGTTTTTGGCATTTTTGGTTGTTTTTGCCATTTGTTTTTATTTGTCAGTAATTTTTTTAAGTTTCAGAAGTTGGAACCAACAGTGGACTTGAGGACTGTGAAGTATGATTTGTGGAAGCAGGAAGCTGAAATTATGCTGCACTTCAAACTTGTTAAGTGAGTGAGTATGTCTGGTCAAAAATTAGTTATTTCCAGTCGCTTTTCCGGTTACTGGGCTTGATTTTAATGAGGGCAGATTTCTTTATATACATTTCTTTCAACTTCTGAGAACGCAATTTAAAAGCGTTATGTCGAAGAGAAGTTTTATTTAAGGGTATCATAGTCCCTACTCAAATGTTGTTTGGGAGAAGATAAGTTGTTGTGAGAAAGTGATGGAGCTAGACGGACCTGCTCATTTGGAGTAATTGCCGACGCATATATGTCTGTTTCGAATTGAACCTCGTAAGTGTGATTTGCTTCATATTTATTAGCATAATGGAGATGCGTTTTTTGGTGGCTTTCTCGTACCTTTTAAAGTTTTGCTGGGAAACCGAAAGATATTCTTAGCGGTAGTTCATTTTAAACATTGAGCACTCCGCATTCAATCTAAAGGCAAATACGATTTTTTTGGAATTGAAATCGCATTAATATTAAACGTCTATTTTCCTAATTCATCATCTGCCATCTCCACTTGATTTTTTGCTTAGTTTACGGCATTAGGGCTCTCTTGCCTGTGGCGGTAGTAATTCTTCTTCCAATACTTCCACCACTGATCTTACTTACCTCATAAACGAATTATTTTGTCTAGCCTTACTAGTTTGAAATATGTGTATATTTATTGTTGTCTTCGTTACTCATTTTGATCCTTTGTTTGTGAAGTATATCATCAACAGCTTGACTCTAAAGTATCCCATCTGTTATTTGGTGTTATGTCATTAATCTTTTGCTGTTGGCAGGCTAAGCGAAAACTCAATTCGACTACTAAGGCATTGCATGCTGAGGGTTTCTTCGCTAGTGCCGATTAGCGAACTCTACTAGCGTATATTAGCTCTTGCAAAGAACGGACACTTCCTTCTAGCTGGGTAAAATTTGAGTGATTATTTAGTATGTGGGCAAAAACTTTAGGGATGGGATAGAAAATCATTAGCTCTGCATAGGGATTCTTTGAAAGACAGAAATTGCCAAGGGACTTCCCAAGAATGATTGCGTTTTGGAGTTCCAAAAACATTATGGTTGTGGAAGTGTACGAGTGGTTTCACAGCAAACTGCATACTTGAAACTTGGAATCTCAGGTTCTTTTAAACTTCAGTGTTTAGTAACTATTAAAGTTAGTACTAAGGCGTTGAAAGGCTTGTCTTAATAGTTCTTTTCAGCGATGTTTCACGCCCTCCCGAAGTGGCGAAACTTTGCGATTTTTGTTGTTTGCTTTTAAAATAATTTAAAAATGCATGTCTGTTACTTTCTGTTTGAAATTGTAAATTACAATAATTTTGTGAGGTTTTTGCTTGAATATGACATTAAAGAATTTCCTATTTGTCCATTAAAGTTGCCTCACCTTATGGGTTTGAAAAGTTGAAACTTGGGATGGAAGCAAACGGATTAGCCATGATTGGAAGAGTAGAGTTGGGTGCAAACTTCGCAGTTTGGTTGTGGTGACGTTACGGACAGTGCAGTTTAGGTCGCATATCTCCTCAATTAAAAAACTTAATTGTAGCAGCTTAATTTTTCAATAATAATTTGAAACGTCTTGAAGTTTACACTGTATTGGCGGAAGTTGTGGTTCGAATTTACAGTAGAATGTCCTAATTATCTTTTATTACGAGAATTACGGCTGTAGACAAATACGAAGATTTTTTTAAGCTGATGAGCAGTGGTGGCGGTTGCTGTAATCATCACCATGTTCTCGTGGTCATTCGTTCGTTTTGTTTCTACTACCTAAGCCTACCAGAAGATCAACAAAGATGGAAATTTCTTAGCTTGTCAGATGCCATGGTGGGATTTGTGAAAATAGGAGTGAACGATGTGCTCGTTCAAAATGTTTTCAAAACACCTAGTTCCTTTCAAAGTTGGATAAATTGAAAGCTTCTAAAGTTGGTTAGGATTATCCGAAGTTAGGCTTTATAATCGCTGGGGTTGCCAAGCTTTAGTAAGGGCAGCTGCAGTGGTAAACTGTTCAGTTCTAGAAGACTGATATGCAGGAACATGGAATGGACGTATAACGCTTTATTTTTTCTGTAGCACGATTTATTTCAGATGAAGTGTTTTACAGCCAATATAATTTTAAAAGTCAAGCGCGCTGAAAACTCATTTGGGAACAAAATATTTCTTTCTAGTATAAGAGTATAAGTCGAGGAAACAAAATGAGTAACAACAAAACTGAGATGTCATATGAAATTTCGTGTTATGATCAGGTTTTTATCAGAAAGTTTCAACCAACGATGTAGTTCAGCTGGGCTGGTCATATTACTCCGTAAATGACAATGTAGTGCAGTTTTGGAACTGAAGCTCAAAACGAAGAAGCATTGGTTAAATTTGCATAGTCTTCTGGATCTCATTACCTTGCTCGTATTCCAATGCTTCCTGTACAGAAATGGCGCACTATGGCATTGTTGTTAAATAATGCCTTTTAAAATTGGTTTTATGACAAACCTGTAAAATTTTATTAAAATGAAATTGTTAGGTAATTTATGTTGTCAGTGTGACGGAGTTCATTACTACCGAACGATAGTTTTGACATGTGTAAAATAAACATGGTCGTGCACACAAACGTAACCGTGCTTTTTGGAAAGGGATAGGTTCAAAGGGAGATAAATTGTATAAAAAATTCAGTTTAAAGAAAAAGTTAGGACATTTTTAAACACTTCAAGACTTCAATGTGATGGAGGTTTCTATTTACTGGCACTGTTAAGTGATAAAGTTTGTCCAAAAATCCTTCGTATGATATGCATAACAAAGTTTTTACGACTGGTTGTATAAAGCTTTTTCTCTAATAAAAGATTTTTAGACTTTGGACGCCTCATGGGTTTGTTTCAAAAGGTATGAAGCTGCAGAAATTAAAATAAAGTATGATATATAAGCATGATGTATCCTCTTAAGTTTTAAGTACAACAGATTGCTTGTCTCATATAAAAGTTTTGTAAAAAGCAGGTCACCTAGAAGTTTCGCAGTTTTTCGTCTATATTAATCAGACTTCTGTCAAGCCTGCTGAAAGGTTTATAAAAATTTAGTTCCCGAATCTATCCAATTTCCTCTTTCTCTACAGTTCTTTCCGCTTCAAAGATTCATCTCTGAGGCTCTTAACAAATACTGACAAGGCTAACCGGTACTCTTTTAAAATTGAAGAGTATTTATTGCAATACTTACCCTACACATCACTTGAGATCTTCAGGCCATACAACTTTCATAGTAATCAAAGAGTAAAGGAGGAAGCTTATAGCACTAATCATGCCCTGGGATGATTGTATGACTCTTGTTCTTCTGGAGAGACCACCGATACTACGTTGATGACAAATAAGCCTTGAAGACCAACAACTGCATATCCGGCGGAAATTTTTAAAACGGTGCTCGTTGTAGGTGGTGCGCAAATAATGTGCGGCTCATACACTTTTAATACAACTGTAATAAGAAAGAGTCATCGAAAGCACTTCCATGTTTCCTCATATAACTTCAATTTTGAAGTTATTAACACAAAGTAAACAGGGAAGTAGGACAGCTAATTTTTAAGGAGAAAGGAGCGAGAAGTAACCTCATTATCATGACGTTTCTTCGCTTACGTCAAATACACTTTGTCTGTAATTAATGCTTGAATTCTTCCTCCAGTTTGTACATTTACAAATCACATAGTTGGCAATACCTTTGAGTTTTTATAACACTTCGACGGTCTATTCCATTGTTTAACAAAATGGGCATGTCTATTTGATAGCTAAATTGTTTTTTTTTTATTACACCGCCTTTAAAAACATTGCATTTATAAAAGATCAGCCACAGTGCGAGAAAAAAATGGTTGATCAAGATTAGAATTTAAGACTGGGAAGTATGAGTAGTTAACAGATTTAACAAACAACTATCCCGACATAAAAACAATTTTACAAAAGTGTATCAAGCTTAGAAGTTGTGGTGAAATTGTAAAAGTACTTTTTTTAACAGATAGTAGTAATAAGCTAAATAGTCAATCACTGCCAAAGATATCGGCTGCACTTTGTCTGTAATTGTACGATATAGTTAAAGGTACGAACAGGCATATAACAAATGTTATGTTTGTTAACAGGTATTTGCACTTTCAGCAGCTGCGTAACTTCAGTTAACAATGACCATCTTTTTCGTTTATAAATTTTTAAATATTGAAATAGTTAAATTTATTGAAAAATGGCCCTTAAAAAAAGAGAAAAACAAAATTTTTTTGAATTTGTGAACCGTTACTCTATAACTGTAAATGTCGTCTTAAAAAATTTGTTGTTCTGCTTCCGAAACTCAATTTCTAAATGTACACATTTAGTGAGAGAGAGAGGTATGGTAAAAGAAAGCAGTCTTTATTCTAGTCCCCAAAAAGTTGAAAGCTTTAGGATAATCTTGAATAGCTTTCAATAATTTCCACATTAATTTATTCAAAACTACCTCTTTCGCAACATAAAGAAAACTTAATTACCAGTAAACGAAAGTTTATTTACAAGTATCTGTAATGAAGGAAATAGCACAACTGACAATTCCAATCAAGGATGCTAATGAAGAAGGCACCAACTGTAGACAGTACTGAGCACTAACAACCTTAAATTTAACTATAGTTATTTTGCAGGAATTTTTTATCCTAATCTCATCCATCCATAACACAAGATTAGACTCGCACTAAAAACGTGATTCTTTTTTATCGAATAAGTGAAAAAAAA